GATGGCTCTGCCTGATGGCTCATCCAAAGTCTATTCTCTCCTTAAAAGCTATTTGTTGTTTAGTCGTTTAGTCGTGTCCGACTCTTTGTGACCCCATGGACCAGAGCACGCCAGGCACTCCTGTCTTCCACTGCCTCCCGTAGCTTGGTCAAACTCATGCTGGTAGCTTCGAGAACACTGTCCCACCATCTTGTCCTCTGTTGTCCCCTTCTCCTTGTGCCCTCCATCTTTCCCAACATCAGGGTCTTTTCCAGGGAGTCTTCTCTTCTCATGAGGTGGCCAAAGTCTTGGAACCTCAGCTTCAGGATCTGTCCTTCCAGTGAGCACTCAGGGCTGATTTCCTTCAGAATGGATAGGTTTGATCTTCTTGCAGTCCATGGGACTCTCAAGTCTCCTCCAGCACCATAATTCAAAAGCATCAATTCTTCGGCGATCAGTCTTCTTTATGGTTCAGCTCTCACTTCCATACATCACTACTGGGAAAACCATAACTTTAACTATATGGACCTTTGTTGACAAAGTGATGTCTCTGCTTTTTAGGATGCTGTCTAGGTTTTTCGTTGCTTTTCCCCCAAGAAGCAGGCGTCTTTTAATTTCGTGGCTGCTGTCACCTTCTGCAGTGATCATGGAGCCCAAGAAAGTAAAATCTCTCACTGCCTCCATTTCTTCCCCTTCTATTTGCCAGGAGGTGATGGGACCAGTGGTGCTTAATTTTGGACAGATTGCATTTTAAAGAATTGCACTTGATGAACAAAGACTCACCCAGTTCACGTAAGAAAGTCTACTATCATGGTCACGATGGCTGTGCTCTGCCTGCAGCAACGCTCCTGAGTACCAGTTGCAGGAAAAGCCAGGAGGGTAGAGTGCTCTTGTGCTCGGTGCTCGCTTATTGACAACTGGTTGGCCACTGTGAGAACAGGATGCTGATCTAAATGGGACTTTGGCTTCATCCAGCATGCCATAAGAGGAGCATTTTGTACACCAGATGAAGACCTTTTGATTCACACAAATTTTAAATAGCTCTTGGATTTTTTTTAAAATTTCTATTTCCACTTTGGGAGTGCAATGGGCCTCTTCCACCACTGCAACTTTTGATTCAACTGTTATGTTTTATTTTCTATTTACAGTGGTACCTCGGGTTAAGAACTTAATTCGTTCCGGAGGTCCATTCTTAACCTGAAACGATTCTTAACCTGAAGCACCACTTTAGCTAATGGGGCCTCCCGCTGCCACCGTGCACTTTCTGTTCTCATCCTGAAGCAAAGTTCTTAACCTGAGGTATGAATGAACTTTATTACTGGTCACAGACCAGGATAAAACAACAACAACATATAAATAAAATAGCAGTTAGGATTTATTTATTTTTTAACTGATGAATGTTGGAGCAAATAAGGACAAAGAAACAAGCAATAGGATAAAACATCTGAATAAAATACAAGATTAAACACGGATAATGGATGGATAAAAACTGGTAATTAAAACAGGTAAGAACTAAAACCAAATAAAAACATGCAGTTAAAACAACTGTAAGAGCGTAAGAACTAAAAGACTCGCAGTTAAAACAACTATAAGTTCTTAACCTGAGGTACTATTTCTGGGTTAGCGGAGTCTGTAACCTGAAGTGTCTGTAACCTGAGCTACCACTGCAAATTGGACTTTTTCTTCTTTATTGTAAGCCACCAGAAAACTTTATTTTATGGGGTGGCATGTTGTCATTTTTTTATTATTATTTTTAGAAGACCAGAATTTCTGCCCGAATGGAGATTCTTAGGATCAAAACATCAGCAGGTGAAGAAAAATGTGTCACATATTTTGCAAGCTCCTTTTGCATACCCTGAGGTTACAGGGAGCTAAAGGTGTGACCTGAAGAGGAATTTCTAAGGGGAGGAAAGGATGAGGGATGGGGCGGTGAAATCGGATGTGTTGTTTACAAAGGTGAAAAGTCAGGTCACAAGTCAAGGCAGGAACAAGTGGCTTGTTATCTGCTGCTACTAACCTGACCCTGTTTGTCTTTGGATGAGTGTCCCCCCCTTAAACACATCTGTGTGAGTTTGTAGAGAAAGATAGCTTCTTCTTTGGCTGCTGTTGGCTTTTAAAAAGAGGAAATGGACAGATTTGTGGGCAGTGGAAAATGTTGATGTGCAGGGAGATGCTTGGGGGAGAAAATAAAGGCAGCTGTATTGAGCCATTTAATAAAGGACATCACCTTGCCAACAAAGGTCCCTCTAGTTAAAGCTATGTTTTTCCCAGTAGTGATGTATGGAAGTGAGAGCTGGACCCTAAAGAAGGCTGATCGCCGAAGAATGGATGCTTTTGAATTATGGTGCTGGAGGAGACTCTTGAGAGTCCCATGGACTGCAAGAAGATCAAACCGATCCATTCTGAAGGAAATCAGCCCTGAGTGCTCACTGGAAGGACAGATCCTGAAGCTGAGGTACCAAGACTTAGGTCACCTCATGAGAAGAGAAGACTCCCTGGAAAAGACCCTGATGCTGGGAAAGATGGAGGGCACAAGGAGAAGGGGACGACAGAGGATGAGATGGTTGGACAGTGTTCTCGAAGCTCCCAGCATGAGTTTGACCAAACTGCGGGAGGCAGTGGAAGACAGGAGTGCCTGGCATGCTCTGGTCCATGGGGTCACGAAGAGTCGGACACGACTAAACGACTAAATGCCAATTGCAAGGCTGCTGGCTGCTTATATTTAGGAGGGAAGTTAAAAGCTTTGCTTTTTAACCAGATATTGACGATACTTTGGCCACTGTGTTATCTTGCTACTGTTTCCTATTGGCTGTTACATCCATAGATCAACTTTTTTTTTAAACAAAAATGTATACTGCTCTGATCTCCTAAGGGAAGAAAAGCAGGATATAAATGATGTTAAACTAATGGATTGTTTTAAAGAAAACATTCCTTTAATTAACTCTCGTGTCATTCCTCCCTAAATGTTATGTAAGAGAAGGGAAGAAAGAGAGAGACGGGGATTATATTTTCAGCCGCAAGATGACATTACTCTTGTTAACATCTAGTTCCAAGTCATTGAAAGTTTGCAGGATGGAGCTCTGCCAGGGCCAGATGTTTTGGAGTTCAGGAGAAATCCTGTCTGTGGCATTTTGCCTTCGACAAAATGTAGGAATAATTTGGGGGCAATTTACACAATCGGCAACTCTATATATCTGGTAAAGCATATCTTGAACTACCAATTCAGGCTACAGAAGGGGGTGGGTTGCATGTCTGGCTACCCCTTCCCAAAAAAACCATTTGCAGCCCATGCATAAATAGCTTAGAATCATAGCATTGTAGAGTTGGAAGGGACCCTGAGGGTCATCTAGTCCAACCCCCTGCAACGCAGCTGTCCCGTACAGGGATCAAACTTGCAACCTTGTCATTATCGGCACCATGCTCTAATCAACTGAGCTATTTCCTCAGCTTATCAAGAGAGAAGACAAAACCAAACTTTCCTCCCTGACATGCTATGTTTCCCATTGCATGGAGTTGTGCTCCTGTTCTCCACAAAGGGAAAACAGTCATAAGCCCAGCTCGATTTAAACGTGATCGTTGATTTCAGCAAGTCTACTCTGAGTAAAAACTTAGTTGAAGACCACCCAGAATATACAGTGGTACCTCGGGTTAATTCATTCTGGAGGTCCGTTCTTAACCTGAAACTGTTCTTAACCTGAAGCACCACTTTAGCTAAATGGGGCCTCCCGCTGCCGCCGTGCAATTTCTGTTCTCACCCTAAAGCAAAGTTCTTAACCTGAGGTACTATTTCTGGGTTAACGGAGTCTGTAACCTGAAGCGTCTGTAACCCAAGGTACCACTGTATATTGAAGGCTTAAGCATGCAGCTACTTTATATAAAGGGACACTGGTGGCGCTGTGGGTTAAACCACAGAGCCTAGGACTTGCTGATCAGAAGGTCGGAAGTTCAGGGTGAGCTCCCATTGCTCGGTCCCAGCTCCTGCCAACCTAGCAGTTCGAAAGCACAGCAAAGGGCAACCAAAATGGTCAAAGGCCTGGAAACTGCAGCAAAACTCCTCTCGCGTTTCCCCCTTCCGTGCACAGAAATAAACGCCAGAGGGCAGGCGGGGGAGCGTGGAAAGAAGCTGCAGGTTGCTGCGCGCAGGCTTAAGCACCACTGCAGACGGATCCCAGGAGCCTTGCCTCATAAGAACCCAGCTCTCTTGGGTCAAGCCGAAAGGGGTCCATTCTAGTCCATTATCTGGAAGCACCGGATTTAAAGTGGTACTGCTGGCTTCCTCCACAGGGAGCCAAGCTGATGACGCACAAAATAGTGAACTTCAGAACATGTGCAGAATGGAAGGTGAGACAAGGGGTGCTTTAACGAACTCTGTTCCCAAAGGAATCATCGTTCTGCCCGGACACTGAGGTCCAGCGCCGAGGGCCTTCTGGCGGTTCCCTCACTGCCAGAAGCCAAGTTACAAGGAACCACGCACAGGGTATATACCCGGTCTTATTCAACATCTTTATCAACGACTTGGATTATGGACTCAAGGGCATCCTGATCAAATTTGCAGATGACACCAAACTGGGAGGGGTGGCTAACACCCCAGAGGACAGGATCACACTTCAAAACGACCTTGACAGATTAGAGAACTGGGCCAAAACAAACAAGATGAATTTTAACAGGGAGAAATGTAAAGTATTGCACTTGGGCAAAAAAGTAAGAGGCACAAATACAAGATGGGTGACACCTGGCTTGAGAGCAGTACATGTGAAAAGGATCTAGGAGTCTTGGTTGACCACAAACTTGACATGAGCCAACAGTGTGACGCGGCAGCTAAAAAGCCAATGCAATTCTGGGCTGCATCAATAGGAGTATAGCATCTAGATCAAGGGAAGTAATAGTGCCACTGTATTCTGCTCTGGTCAGACCTCACCTGGAGTACTGTGTCCAGTTCTGGGCACCACAGTTCAAGAAGGACACTGACAAACTGGAACGTGTCCAGAGGAGGGCAACCAAAATGGACAAAGGCCTGGAAACGATGCCTTATGAGGAACGGCTAAGGGAGCTGGGCATGTTTAGCCTGGAGAAGAGGAGGTTAAGGGGTGATATGATAGCCATGTTCAAAGATATAAAAGGATGTCACATAGAGGAGGGAGAAAGGTTGTTTTCTGCTGCTCCAGAGAAGCAGACACGGAGCAATGGATCCAAACTACAAGAAAGAAGATTCCACCTAAACATTAGGAAGAACTTCCTGACAGTAAGAGCTGTTCGACAGTGGGATTTGCTGCCAAGGAGTGTGGTGGAGTCTCCTTCTTTGGAGGTCTTTAAGCAGAGGCTTGACAACCATATGTCAGGAGTGCTCTGATGGTGTTTCCTGCTTGGCAGGGGGTTGGACTCGATGGCCCTTGTGGTCTCTTCCAACTCTATGATTCTATGATTCTAAGTAGATAAATAGGTACCACCACGGCGGGAAGGTAAACGGCGTTTCCGTGCGCTGCTCTGGTTCACCAGAAGCGGCTTAGTCATGCTGGCCACATGACCCGGAAGCTGTACGCCGGCTCCCTCGACCAATAAAGCGAGATGAGCGCCGCAACCCCAGAGTTGGCCATGACTAGACCTAGTGGTCAGGGTCCCTTTACCTTTAGGAACATGGAAACTGCGTTAAAGCACTGGTCCATTACCCCATTATTGTCAACAATGACTGGCATCAGTTCCCTGGGGTCTTGGGCAGAGAGAGTCTCCCCCTGCCGATTGGTGATTGAACCCAGGGTCCTCTGCACATGCAGTACTGAGCTACAGCCCTGCCCCTTGAAAAACCAATTTTCTTTTTCATGCAACGTAAGAACATCAAATGCCTTTAGGATGCCCCTGGGCACCTATGAGAGCAACAGCGCACCTGCCTCCCCGCACCCAGCACCTAGTATTCAAAGGCAAAATATATTCGGCCACACCCCAGTTTGAATTAGAGTACAGCCACCCAGGACCAGAAAAGCTTGTTTTGTGAGCCTGATCCTACCTTTGAAAAACCAGTCAGCTCTCCTTAAGTGCTGTCAAAAAGCAGCTAAAGACAGGCCTGAAGGTGCGTAGGGCTACCATCTTTCTGAACCTAATAAGCAGGTCGAGATCAGCTCTCTGAGAACCACAAGTAGGACACATACGTAAAAGGCAGAATGCAAATGTAAGAGGTGGGAGCCTGAGTCCCAAACCTGGATGAAGATTCATTTATAGCCTGTTAGGCCGACGGAGGTTTGTTGTTGTTTTCTTGTAGGTTTCTATGGAAAGTATTTTTGTGTTCTTGCACACTGTAAAACACACCCTGTGTTCCTCAGATTAAGGACGGTCTGGAAATTTAAAATATAAGTAAGCAGAATGCGCTTTCCCCCTTTGCAAAATTCACAACAGGGACGCGCCTGCCAGCAATTATATCTGGCTCATCCTGACCACAGGTTTGGATTTGCAAATCCAGACTCCTGTGAAAACACATCTGTGGAGTTGTTGGGCGGGGGGGGGGGGGGGAGGCAGAGAAAGAAAGCAAACATTTTTCCAACACCAAAAAGTCTGCACCCATTAAGTTTTGTCTTTACTAGGTGAATTGCCGTCTGCCTGGGGCGCAGTAAAACAGATCATGTCGCCACCCCAGAGAAGTCCACCCTCCTACAGAGTCTCCTGTTTCCCCCCCAGTTCTCAGCACACCCCCTTTTTCCTCTAAAGTGTCCCCACAACCTTCGAAAGCTTGTTGGCTGAATCGTGCCTATCATCAGTTTTTAACAACGGCAACAAAATGAACCTGTGTTTCCAGCTGTTTTAGGGACAAGTAACACCTGCCTTCTGCTTGCGGGTGTTTGCAAGAGCCACTGTGTGTTTTTGTAAAAATGCGAGGCATATATTAAACTAATAATAATAATTGATCGTTATATTAATTGGCATTTTAAATGATTTTTCCCCCTGATGCTTTTACTCATGTTGCTATAGTCTTGCATGCTGCGCAGCACCTTTCTGTACTCGTATAAAAGTACGGATTTTAAATGCTTCGATAAATAAGCAAGCTGTTCCAATCCTGGGTATATTTAATGTGGAGGAAGTTCAGCAGAGTTCAGTGCAGCTTACAAACCAAAAAAGTATCCCTAGGTCATGGGTGGGCCCCCACTGTCAGTTGTCTACCAAACTGGCAGACTTGCATGTTTACTCATGAGTAGGACCCATTTTATTAGCGGCCCCCCTACCTTTCAATGAACAGCTTTGCAGCTCAACTCTGCATCTGATTGCTCAGAATTAATTCCCACTGAGTTCAATGGAATATTGTCCAACAAGTGTGTTTAGAGATATAAAATCCTATACACATTTACACCAGGGAGTCCCGTTTGGTGCAACGGGGCTTACTACTTCTGGGTAGAAATGCTCCAATTTAAATGTCCACAAGCTTGCCACCTGACTGACTACAGCTCCTTTTTCCTTTTTTAGCTCCCAGAATATTATCTAGGGATTTCTCCAGCGCAATTCGCATTGAGAGCAGGAATCGTGTAAGAGCTCAAAGGGTCTTACGCAACAGGCATTCTTGATGGCTTGCGCTCCAAGTTTCTAGCCCTCGTGATATCGCGAGGAGGGCGAATCCAATTAAAATGCATTCCCTGGACAAAGTGACGCACATTGTGGCGCAAAGGCAGAATAAATGTTGGCAGCGTTATATTAAAAGGGGAAGGGGGCCTTCTTGAATTCTGGTTCTGTGTTCGGAAATAGGAACGTGACTATTCTTCTATATTTCAAGCAATCCGGAATCAGAGGTTACACTTGAAAGAAAGGCGCTTGTTTATTAAAGTCACAGGTGTGTGTTACAGCGGGTCACACGCGGACCCCTCTCTGTCTGTCCGCACGTCCGGATAACCCGCATCTAGAGATAGTTTCCCAGCATATAGATAACGAGAGCAGCAGTTTCTTTCTCCAGAGAGCAGCCTGGCAAGCCACGGCGCATCTGCTTCCGTAACCACACCGCGTCGCGTTTCCTGCTTTCTCGAGTCTTTTCTCTTTTTTTACAAAAACGCTGACTTCTTTTAAAAATAAGAGGGCTTTACAAGCAGGCTCAGCAACCCCGACCCCTTTTAAACGTGGGGGTTTTGCAGCAGCGCAACGCGCCTCTTGTCCGAAGTACCAAACGCTTGCGCTTTCTGCTCACGCACCACCGCTCCAGGTTTGGAAACCCTGACTTTCTGCCATCCCTGTTTTGCAAAACTGGCCAACTCTCGCCAGTCAAGGGCTGTGTGAAACACACAAAGCTGTGGCTGTTTTAAATAAATAAAAAAGTGTGTGTGTACACTTTAACATATACAGCTTCCACGGACTTGCATTTCCACCCTCCGAAACAACGCAGCGCCGTCTTGTCAATTTCACTGAAACGGACCACACAGCGCCGCTTAAGCGTAATTGGGTATCCGGGCGCATCAACTTTCCGTCAGTGAATAAATCCCAGACTTTCCGAGCAAGCCGGATCTAGTCGATCTCCTCACCCTCTCAAATCATTCAGCCAGGAATTACTAGGACCGCTCCTCTGCCCACCCCAAACCAAGCCTCAAAGGATCGCAGCGTTTACTAGGGGGAAAAAAACAGCAACAGAAAGTCCCTCGCTTCACCTTACCTTTTGGCAGCGGTGGGGCGGGGAAAATCTTCTTCCTTGTCCCTTCTCCAAAATCGTCTTCCAAAAACTGGGCTGGGGAAGGAATGGGATTTGAGGTGGGCGATCGCTTCAACAGCCCCGCTTCTTCAAATGTTTCTTGGGCAGAGAGGACGCCTCGGTTTTGCAGATGTTAGCAGTCCAAGATACGGTTCCCAAACACGGTTCCCGAGCGCAGCCGGAGGGAAAATAGATGTTAAACTGAAAAACACACAGCTAGGACGGGCGAGGGATTTGGAGAGAGAAAGAGAAAGAGACGCTGGGAAGTTGGAGCGGGGGAGCAAATCGAGAAGGAGGGAAAAAATGATTGCTAAAAATAATAGTAATGCAAGCGAGGCTCTGGGAAGATGTTGCAAAGTGCGCGTCTTTTTCTCTGTGTGTGTGTGTGGCTCCTGAGTCGCAGGCGACTAAACCCCCGTCCAGCTCCACAGCTGCAAAAGTCCTTTATGGCTCTTCTCCGGCTGACGGAACCTGCTTTTATGCGCTCCTCGGGGCTTTGATGTGAGTGGTGATGTCAGCCCGTATTAGCATAACAAAAACGTGCGGGATTTACTGCCTTGGAGAGAGAGAGAGAGAAATACAGGACAAATAAAACGTGTTTGATCTGTTCAGCGGGGAGTTGACAAAAAAAAAAGAGGGGGGGAGTATATATTTGCCCAGGATTCCCCCCCCCAACACACAACACTGTCCCTCTGCAGGCCCCCCTGCAGCAAAACTCCTCTCGCGTTTCCCCCTTCCGTGCACAGAAATAAACGCCAGAGGGCAGGCGGGGGAGCGTGGAAAGAAGCCGCAGGTTGCTGCGCGCAGGCTTAAGCGCCACTGCAGACGGATCCCAGGAGCCTTGCCTCATAAGAACCCAGCTCTCCTGGGTCAAGCCCAAAGGGGTCCATTCTAGTCCATTATCTGGCAGCACCGGATTTAGAGCGGTACTGCTGGCTTCCTCCACAGGGAGCCAAGCTGATGATGCACAAAATAGTGAACTTCAGAGCATGTGCAGAATGGAAGGTGAGACAAGGGGTGCTTTAACGAACTCTGTTCCCAAAGGAATCATCGTTCTACCCGGACACTGAGGTCCAGCTCCGAGGGCCTTCTGGCGGTTCCCTCACTGCGAGAAGCCAAGTTACAGGGAACCAGGCAGAGGGCCTTCTCGGTGGTGGTGCCCGCCCTGCGGAACCCCCTCCCACCAGATGTCAAAGAGAACAACTACCAGACTTTCAGAAGACATCTGAAGGCAGCCCTGTTTAGGGAAGCTTTCAATGTTTGATGCATTACTGGATTTTAATATTTTGTTGGAAGCCGCCCAGAATGGCTGGGAAGCCCAGCCTGATGGGCGGGGTTTATTTATTTATTTATTTATTTATTTATTTATACCCCGTCCATCTGACTGGGTTGCCCCAGCCACTCTGGGCAGCTGCCAACATATATAAAATAATTAAACATTAAACATTAAAAAGCTTCCCTATACAGTGGTACCTCGGGTTACAGATGTTTCAGGTTACAGATGCTTCAGGTTACAGACTCCGCTAACCCAGAAATAGTACCGCGGGTTAAGAACTTTACCTCAGGATGAGAACAGAAATTGTCCTCTGGCGGCGTGGCGGCAGCGGGAGGTCCCATTAGCTAAAGTGGTGTTTCAGGTTAAGAACAGTTTCAGGATAAGAACGCACCTCCAGAACGAATTAAGTTCTTAACCCGAGGTACCACTGTACTTCAGATGTCTTCTAAAGGTTACAAAGGTCATCTCCTTGACACCTGATGGGAGGGTGTTCCACAAGGGGGGTGCCACTACCAAGAAGGCCCTTGTGTCTGGTTCCCTGTAACCTCACTTCTCGCAGGGAGGAAACCGCCAGAAGACCCTCGGAGGAGGACCTCGGAGTCTGGGCTGAGTGATGTGGGTGGAGACGCTCCTTCAGGTCTACAGGGCCAAGGCCGTTTAGGGCTTTCAAGGTCAGCACCAACACTTTGAATTACGCTAGGAAACGTACTAATGAGACTCTTAAATTCAGGGTAGTGGATTATAGCCCCATGTTAGCCAAAGGTTCTTGCATTGCAGGGGGTTGGAGTAGATGACCCCCGTGGTCCCTACAATGCGATGATTGTGAAAATAGAAAATACTGTGGGGGCACCAAATTTTGTCCTCGCTCAGAGCGCCAGGTTACCGAAGTCTGCCCCTGCATTAAGGTCTGGCAGTGGACATTCTGATGCCCCAAAGAGGAGGCAAGAAGCAAGAGCTGGGTGCAGCAGTGCTCTCCCCATTTGTGAATTCAATGACAAACCTAGATAGCATCTTAAAAAGCAGAGGCATCACCTTGCCAACAAAGGTCCGTAGAGTTAAAGCTATGGTGTTTCCAGTAGTGATGTATGGAAGTGAGAGCTGGACCATAAAGAAGGCTGATCGCCGAAGAATGGATGCTTTTGAATTCTGGTGCTGGAGGAGACTCTTGAGAGTCCCATGGACTGCAAGAAGATCAAACCGATCCATTCCTAAGGAAATCAGCCCTGAGTGCTCACTGGAAGGACAGATCCTGAAGCTGAGGCTCCAAGACTTTGGCCCCCTCATGAGAAGAGAAGACTCCCTGGAAAAGACCCTGATGTTGGGAAAGATGGAGGGCACAAGGAGAAGGAGATGACAGAGGACAAGATGTGTTCTCGAAGCTACCAGCATGAGTTTGACCAAACTGCGGGAGGCAGTGGAAGACAGGAGTGCCTGGCGTGCTCTGGTCCATGGGGTCATGAAGAGTAGGATACGACTAAATGACAACAAAAGCAACTGTTATTCATATTCAATGTTGTCTCCAACAGTGGAAGTATCAGGGCCGGCCCACCCATGAGGCTAAGTGAGGTGACTGCCTCAGGCGGCAGTGTCCACAGGAGCAGCAGATCCAGCCTCCAATGAATGCAAAACCTGCTGCTGCCACCATTTACGATAACCTTACTCTTTGCTCTCAGCCTGCTCAGATTGAAGAGCTTTCCATCTGTCTGATATATGATTTATACTCCGGTGTGGAGTTTCCCTTCGACAAAGTGTAGGATCATGGCAATGAAAATAATGAATAGAGCTGGGGCGATAACACAACCCTGTTTAACACCTGATCCCACTGTGAACGGTTCACTTTGAGAGCCATTGTTATCTGCGATTGTTGCTGTCGTATTATCATGGAGGAGCCGAAGGATATTCACAAATTTATCTGGGCAGCCAATTTTCAGAAGGACAGTCCACAGGGCCTTCTGATTTACAGTGTCGAAAGCCTTCGTCAGGTCAATAAACGCCATATACAGGGGTTGATTTTGCTCTCTGCATTTTTCTTGAAGCTGTCGAGCGGTGAAAATCATGTCCACTGTCCCCCTAGAAGGCCGGAAACCATTTTGGGATTCAGGAAGGGCCACCTCAGATATTGTTAAGAGACATTTTGCAAAGATCCTTGCAAGAATTTTTCCGGCCGCAGCTCATAGAGAGATGCCTTGATAGTTTCCACAATCAGTTCTGTCACCTTTTTTAAAGTGGACTTGTGGATCTAGAATTGGCCTCCGCAGTCACTTACGGACTCACTGTTAAAACCGTGTTTATGGAAGACAATCTTACTTGGCTACAAGTGATCGCCAAGGAGAAGAAGGTGGTTGGCCACTGTGAAATTTGTCATTGGCATTGCCATTGGTGCTGTGAAATTTGCCAGCAAGCATTTCTAACATTCTAAAGTCAAAAGGAAACACAACTTTTAATAACTCACCTTTGGTTCCCTCTTGACAGAACATGCCCAAAAGCAAACAGATTAACCAATAATAAACAGGTGTGTGCCCTGAACTTCCAGCCTCACCAATTAAAATTTGCCTTGCATGATTCCACTGCGGCCCTAGGAAAAAGAAACACCGTGCGTAATAAATTAAACGTTTCTGTTTGCAAAAGCAGCAGCAGGATATAAAATAACAACGCCGCAGCCTGCCCAAGGATTTAAGATGTGTAAACTTTTAAATGGGTTCTTCTCCCTTCTCCCCGCCCCCTTTCCCCCAGCAAATGGCTTAGGCATCCATATTTTCTGCTCCATAGGAAATCTTCATGCTAGAATTGTCCTGAACATGATTCCAGGGGATGGCTAATGATTACCAAGAAAAATAAGCAAGTTAACCTTTCAGCCGAAACTCTTTCATGTTACCTTTCCAAAGGCTGGCTGCTATTGACTGATTCCTGGGGCTGATTTCATAAGTAAACCCGAGCAATATTAATATTTTTTAGGCGGAGTTTTTCTTTTGCTGAATGTATCCTCCCATCTGATATAAAGAGGATGAAAGGGCAGAGGTAAAATGCCAGAGGAAGTGCGTTGAAGATTGGGAAGTTGTGGGTACACACACACACACACACACCCTGTTAAGTATTACAGCTAAGCCTAAAGATTATATCGGCCAGATTCATTGGAGGCAAGGAATCATTTGCTTTATTGATTGAAGCTGGAAGCACTCCTAGAGCTATAACTGGGGTGGAGAACCTTGCACCTGCAGGCAAAATATTGCTCTCCAGCCCTATCTGGCTCCTCCTGAGCCATGCCTCTTCTCCCCAGGCCAGCCCTCTCTCTGGCCCTGTTTTTCACCCTTTTGGCCTGGCTAAAATCTATCCTTCATAGAGTTGGAAGGGCTCCTCGTGATCATCTAGTCCAACCCCCTTGCAACACAGGAATATGCAGCTGTCCCACACGGGGATCAAACCTGCAACCTTGGCGTTATCAGCACCACGCTCTAACCGACTGAGCTATCCAGGCCCTTGAACTGTGATACAGTGGTACCTTGGTTCTCGAACTGAATCCGTTCCGGAAGTCCGTTCCAAAACCAAAGCGTTCCAAAACCAAGGCGCGCTTTCCCATAGAAAGCAATGCAAAACGGATTCATCTGTTCCACACTTTAAAAAACAACCCCTAAAACAGCAATTTGAGAGTCCCATGGACTGCAAGAAGATCAAACCTATCCATATGAAGAGTCAGACACGACTACAACAGGAGGGGTGATCAAATGGGTTCAAGTTGCTGGTTTTGGTGTATGAAACCCTATATGGAATGGGACCAAGATACCCGAAAGACCATCTCTCCCACAGGTCACAGGTGCCAACACCCTTGAGTCCTGGGGGCTTCAGCACCCACAAAATGCCCCATGAAGGGGCTTGGCACCCACAAATTGTTGTTGCCTGGGACATACACGCTGACAGGGCCCCAGACACCCATGGCCACAGGGCCAAGCTGGAATTCTGGGTCTCACCTCTTACATACCTGATAACTGTGCCCCGCAGGATTAGGTCTCTTGCAGATATCATCTTATCAGAAAGTCCGCTCTGCACAGCACAGAAAGTAGGCCTTTAGCTTATTAGTGTATTTTAATATTTTGTTGAAAGCCGCCCAGCCAGATGGGCGGGGTATAAATTTTATTATTATTATTATTATTATTATTATTATTATTATTATCATCATC